GGATTAGATGTTACTATCCTTTGTGCAAGCACTTCCAAGAGTTAATGAACAGTGAGCCTGGTGAAATTTGGGGAGCGCATCGTCAGTAGTGACCCTTTGGTTCCTAGGGTGTTTCGGCCTTTCATACTATACACCCTCCCCAAAAGTGGCCAGCGACAGGGTGATCAATCCTACGCTTGCGTCCCATTCCCAATTAGTCATAGGAGTTGCCTTGTTGTTGGTAGCCAACAACAAGGCAACACTCACTCACCTAGCAACTCACTAAGGATTTACCCATGTACTCACCTACTCTCCCCCCACAGACCCATCCACTCAGCTATCCACTCACTCATGAACCTATACACTCACTCACAGACTTATCCACTAACTCACGGACCCATCCACTCACTCACCTAGCAACTCACTAAGGAGTTACCCATGTACTCACCTACTCTCCCCCACAGACCCATCCACTCACTCATGAACCTATACACTCACTCACAGACTCATCCACTAACTCACGGACCCATCCACTCATGAACCTATCCACTCACTCAGATACCCATCAACTCACTCACAAAGTCATCCAGTAACTCACCTACCAACTCACTAAGGAGTTACCCATGCACTCACCTACTCTCCCCCACAGACCCAACCACTCACCCATCCACTCACTCATGAACCTATACACTCACTCACAGACTCGTCCACTAACTCACGTACCCATCCACTCACTCACCTAGCAATTCACTAAGGAGTTACCCACTCGCCTACTCTCCCCCACAGACCCATTCACTCAGCTATCCACTCATGAACCTAAACACTCACTGACAGACTCATCCACTAACTCACGGACCCATCCACTCACTCACCTAGCAACTCACTCACGAGTACCCATGTACTCACCTACTCTCCCCCACAGACCCATCCACTCACCTATCCACTCACTCATTAACCTAAACACTCACTCACAGACTCATCCACTAGCCCACAGACCCATCCACTCACTCATGAAGCTATACACTCACTCACAAAGTCATCCAGTAACTCACCTACCAACTCACTCATGAGTACCCACTCACCTACTCTCCCCCACAGACCCATTCACTCAGCTATCCACTCACTCATGAACCTATCCACTCACTCAGATACCCATCAACTCACTCATAAAGTCATCCAGTAACTCACCTACCAACTCACTCATGAGTACCCACTCACCTACTCTCCCCCACAGACCCATCCACTCACCTATTCACTCACTCATGAACCTATCCACTCACTCAGATACCCATCAACTCACTCACAAAGTCATCCAGTAACTCACCTACCAACTCACTCATGAGTACCCACTAACCTACTCTCCCCCACAGACCCATCCACTCACCTATTCACTCACTCATGAACCTATCCACTCACTCAGATACACATTAACTCACTCATAAAGTCATCCAGTAACTCACCTACCAACTCACTCATGAGTACCCACTAACCTACTCTGCCCCACAGACCCATCCACTCACCTATCCACTCACTCATGAACCTAAACACTCGCTCACAGACTCGTCCACTAACTCACGGACACATCCATTCACTGATGAACCTATCCACTCACTCAGATACCCATCAACTCACTCACAGAGTCATCCAGTAACTCACCTACCAACTCACTCATGAGTACCCACTCACCTACTCTCCCCCACAGACCCATTCACTCAGCTATCCACTCACTCATGAACCTATTCACTCACTCAGATACCCATCAACTCACTCATAAAGTCATCCAGTAACTCACCTACCAACTCACTCATGAGTACCCACTCACCTACTCTCCCCCACAGACCCATCCACTCACCTATCCACTCACTCATGAACCTAAACACTC